ATAGGCAGTGGAAACTTTATGCTTAACTTCATACTTTGCAAGAATATTATTCAGCAATTTGTTACAAAAGTGAGTTCCCTCATCGCTTATCAACACTCTTGGAGTCCCAAAACGTGTGAAGATGTGCTTCTTTACAAAGCTTACCACTACCTTTGCGTCATTAGTAGGAAGAGCAATGGCCTCCACCCACTTAAAAACATAGTCGACCGCCACCAAGATGTACCTGTGCCCATTAGAATATGGAAACGATCCCATAAAATCAATCCCCCAAACATCAAAAAGCTCTACTGCTAAAATATTTTGCAAGGGCATCTCGTGCTTCCTTGTGATAGTTCCGGTTCTTTGGCATCTGTCACAATTTTTAACAAAGGCATGTGCATCCTTAAATAATTTTGGCCAATAGAAACCTGATTATAGCACTTTTTGGGCGGTTCTATCCCCGCCGTGATGACCTCCATATGGCGACGCATGGCAGTCATGCAGTATAGCATTCATCTCTTCCTCAAGAACACACCTTCGAACCAACTGATCTGCGCACTGCCTATATAAGAATGGCTCATCCCACATGTAGAGTCTCACATCATGTAAGAATCTTCTTCTATTGTCAGGTGTCAATTCTAGTGGCGTCACCCCACTTGCAATAAAATTCACATAATCTGCATACCATGGGGCTTCACCTTAGGTGACANATCTCTATTAGCTGTGGTTGAACTACGATGTCCAACTCTCTTTCTATTCTCGTTCTAGCTTCGATTTTCTTCCTCACTCTATGAAGTGTTCGTTCAATTTCTGGATCAAAAGGAAGGAGGTTGTTTGCACTTCTACTCCTCCGCATTCAAGAGAAGATCCTGTGTTAACACAAACAAGGCAAACTGAAAATTAAAACTTGAATAAATAAGTAATAAAAGCTTAACTCAGTCAAGTAGCTAATTTCTAAGTCCCCGGCAACGGCGCCAAAAACTTGTTGGGACAAAACACACTCACGCAAATATACGTGGTCGTCAAGTAATAGAGTAGTGAATACAGTATCGTTTCCACGAGGACTTATGATTAACTTTTGACTAATTCAAACTCAAATAGCTTATCGATTCAAGCGATTTCTTATAAAATAGATAATTGTCTAATTTACTACCTAAAAACTATCAATTAATGAAATACTAAAAATCAACACAACACTTAAATAGTTTTAAATAACAATCAATGAGAGATAATATTCCAGGGTCACGGGTTATCTAACAATCATGTTGCATTCTTAGCTTAAAATAACTAATTGATTTATCTGGATTGTTGATTGACAGGGTTGATATTACTCATAAGATTCTTTCGAGTTCTTACTCGCCTATTTAAGCTAACTTAATACCTATATGTCTATGGAATTAAGATTAACAAGAACGCATTTACAATTTCTGTATTGCAACCGAGCAAGGCAATTAGGTATATGTATATCCCAATTGCGAATCCGTTCCTCGATGCCCGGGTTTAAGAACTTGCTCTATTTAATTCTATATACAGTCTAGAGTTCCCACTTTCGAGTTCAACTCTAGATTCGTCGATAGTATTTCACTGTTAGCTACTCAATAAAATAATTAAAAACAGAATTAAATAAACAACCCAATATGATAAAATCAACTTCGTCAAATTAAACTTCAAACATCAACATTCATGTATACCCATGACCCTAGAATAATAGGGTTCTTAGCCACTCATGTTCATGCAATCATCAAATAATTCACAAGAGTGCATAATAATCAATAAAAGAAGGAAAAATAAGAACTCAAGATGAATTCCGTGGTTCTCCAGCTTTGTCGTGGCTTTTTCCCCCTTCCCCATATGTTAGATGCCCTAAAGGAGGCGTTTTTGGCTTATATATTGCGTACAAAAGTCGTGGGCTAAAGTTCTCTTATTCCGAATCCGACTCAGCTTCAGGGATTGATGCTGGGGTGGATGCGTCGCATCCACCTCGTCCTTCACTTCTCAGCTTCGCATGCTAGGGTGGATGCTATGGGCCGACTTCACTGCTAAGGGTGCACGAAATCTGATTTTTTTCTCTAGATTGGATGCGACGCATCCAACCCCTCTTCCTCTACCTAGAGCACATTTTCTTCATATTTTTGCACTCCAAACACCCTAATTCATCACACACAACTCAATTAGTCATAAAACTAATAATTAAACCATATTGGACATTTTAAAGACCAAATAGCATCAAAAAGCGGTTAAAATATGGGTAAAGTAACATCAACACGTATCGAAATATGCCCAACATCACTTAACATATGATATGAATATGGAAGAACAAAGAGATTGACGCATTTCATTAACACTTGAAGAGAAAGTGATCATACAACCCATTATTTAAGGTTAATAAATATGGAGCACTTCATATACTATTAAATATTATATCCCGCAAGATAATTTCAAATATTTCTAGATATTTTTTTAAAGAAAATTCTATATAAAATCTTAAAAGTATATATAAAAATTATATATTTATATGTCGGTTTGGTTTGGATTTTTTACTCAATACCAAATCGAATCAAACCAAACCTAGTCGGGTTTTTTAATCGGTTTGGTTTGACTTTTCGGTTTGGTGCGATTTTCCGGTTCAATTTGTACACCCCTAGGACCAGCTCACTACTAGAAAATGGCTAATTTCCGACCGTAGAGCTAGCTTCCACTCGTCTCGTCTTAATGCAAACTTACTACTAGTAAACTTGATAAACCATTTTTTCTTATGCAAAATATATTCTTCCTTATTTTCAAATGAATCTTTCTATGATTGTTTGGATACAAAACGGATCATGTATAAGTCAAGTCGATCGGTGACAAAAATATCAAAATTTTGAAACGGGCATTGATGGTGGAAGTGGTCCTAAATAGATGAGCAATTTTCCCGAAACATTCTACAGAGCTTAGAGTTTGAAACTATAAATAATAATCATAGTGGTCCTATATAGACAAAGAATGAGACTACTCATTCACCAGAAACCTGTGACACTTCACCACAATATGCATGTGCTCTTCTTTGTTTTTGTGTAAATATGTACCAGCCATTTCTTCGTTTTTTGCTTACGGATTTTGCATTCACGTGTTCTTTGTTCCTTGCTCTCTTATATTTCACGAGTCTCTCTCTCTCTTTGTCTCTCCACGTTTCGTCTTTTTTTCCTTTTTGGGTCATGAATGGAAAGATTGTAAAGATTGTCCTTTCTAATTTACACATTTGCCTATACAAGTTGAACAGAAGAATATACTAAAGATTGTCAGAATTATATACTACTGTATATAATATGGTGGTTAGGATAGTGATGAAAGATGAAGGAACCAGAGGAGGGGGACAAGAATAGGGACAGATGAGAAGAAAAATAAAAACAATATATATATGACATTTCTTTTTATTTTTATGTTCTAAAATATAAACGTTTTTCAATCTTTATCCGAGTTCAAGTCAAAGTGGACTGAGTTATTGGGCTAAAATGGACCAAATAAACTCTTAACCTGGTGTGATATTATTCGTTTTGGATCAAGTCCGTACGGTTTTCCCCAAAATGCATCACATCATTAAGATTATTCAACTCCTTATAAGTAGAATCTTTTTCCTTTTTTACTTTCCATGTAGTACTTTGTTCACACACCCAACAATTTTTCCCTTGAACTAAATTCCACATGACCCTCACCATTTATGGGCTAATTCGGAGATTAACTGTGTGCAACCCACATGATCTGAGTATTTATGGCCACCGAAACCCAAAGGTTGTGTATGCGTTTTCAAAGCTACATGTAAAGGTTGTAAACCACGTAGACGGGCAAAGATACTAAGCCCAACCCCCATGCCATACTCCGCCATCTCCATAGTCCTGCCAAATCATTGGCTCTGATACTAGTTATTGGGCTAAAATGGCCCAAATACACTCTTAACATGATGTAATATTGTCCGCTTTGGGCCAAGCCCACACGATTTTTCCCTAAAGGCCTCACCATTAAGATTATACAACTCCTTATGAGTAGAATCTTTTTTCTTTCTACTTTTCATGTGAGACTTTGTTCACACACCCAACACTGATAAATTACAGCCATGTCAGAATGTTAGATCCAATTAAATTAGCTGAAATAGGTACTCAAAGTAAAAACTCCATAAATTCAAGATAGTCTTTAGAGCGGCAGTAAAATTGAAGAGAGCAACTATTTTGCTATAAAGGCACCAACTCTCTTTTATTAATTGATATCAAATAAGATAATGGAATTGTCAGTCTCATTAGTATTCATTTATCTCAACTACTCAAATTATGATTGCTATATTGGCTATGAATTTATGGCAATAAAAAAGCTAGTGGAGTCTAACTACCAAACTCACTTTAAATACCCTTTGAACTCAAAAACATTGTTCTTTTTAGCTTTAGTAGTTGCTTGGAAGCTAACATCATCTTATATGATATATAGAAAAATTAATATCCTTTCTTGGATTCAAAAAATGCGTGAACAAATAGTCCTAAATCATTATTCATTTAGCATTAATGGTTATGTAAAATGTTATGTTTCTGCTTTCCCATTTTTTTGCAATAAATTATATTGTACTCGATAGTATTTTCTTTTATCATGTAAACCCGATATTATAATACTCTAACCAACCATTTTAAGCAAGAGATTTACAATAATAGTGCAAATTTTTTACACTATTTATGTAATTTTACTTATCCCAATATATTGCTTTACTATTTTTGTAGGTTACCGAAACATACTTGCTATCAAAGTTGTTTATTACTATTGTACCAAACGACTCCTAAATGATATAATACAAATTTTTATGTATGTTCGGTGTGTCCAAATTAATACACGATTTTTTTATTTAAAAAAATGACTTCTAGAGAATTGGTTTTCGAATTATTTTTTGAAATATCAAATTGTGCTAATATTTAAGAATAAAAATAAAAATAGTAAAATTATTTCAATCATAAAGCAGCAATATGGTTTTGTCAATGGCTTATCCCGGGCATATAGTTTAATTTGTTCAACAAAACGAAGACCCACATCTCATCTGTCACAACTCACAGGATCCATTTTTTACTTAATCCACTCTGAGGAGGAGACCCTTTTATTGTTGGAAAGCTATTAATTCCAAGCTATCTCCACACCCTCTCCCCAAACAAGAAAATTATTAAATGTAAAACGTACTACTAGACCCCCAGTTACATACATAAACACACATCATCTGCAGAATTTTGGTATGCAATTTTACGTAGTAAGTAATAATACCAAAAATCAAGATCCAGTCTTTTTATATTTTCCAAGAAGATTGAATCAATAAAAAGGTGACAGCTTTGCTACAGAGTACAGAGCCAGTAAATTGAGTAGGAATCATGTGATCTTTACTCACTGTCTCACCTCTCTCCTTTCACTAAGCAATAGGCATAATACCTTTCCAATTTCACCCACTACTCACTGCTGTAGTATTTGCTAGTCTTTTTCTTGGGTAAAAATATTCTTTCTTCTTAATTTTGTTGCTGCAGCTTTCTTGAGGTATTTTTTTTTTTATGTTCAATGGCCTCAAGTGCTTCAAGATTCATCAAATGTGTCACGGTTGGTGATGGTGCCGTTGGAAAGACTTGTATGCTTATTTGCTATACCAGTAACAAGTTCCCCACTGTAAGTGTTTTACTACTTACTTCTTATATCTTTTCCCCAAAAGATCCATGTGGGTTTCTTGGTATGTCCCTCATTTCTTGTGTTTGATGCCTAGATAAGCTGAATGTTGGTTTTTTATATGTGGGTTTTGCAGCTTTTTTCCTTCTTTTTTCTCTTTTGTTTGTTCTGATTTTATTACTTTAGAATATGCTCTTTTTTTGCCTATCTGTTTTTATTTTGTTGCTTTATTTAACTNAGGGTGAAGAGAAAAATCCCAGTAAGAGAAAATGTAATGGTAACCTAATGAACCAGAAAGAACAGAATGCTATGGCTAACTTGTGTTATTCAGGAGTATTTCTTCAGTTTCTTTCCTGAACTTAAACTTCAATTTTCTGAGTCTTCTTCGTATATTTGTTCGAACCAGGATTATGTTCCCACAGTGTTTGACAACTTCAGTGCCAATGTGGTTGTCGAAGGGACCACAGTAAATTTAGGTCTTTGGGATACTGCAGGTAAAAATATGTCTACTAATTACAACTGAATGGTTCCAAGATGATGTCCTATTCCCCCTCCTCCAAATCAAGTACTAACATCCTGTAATTAGCATTTCCTAATCGCTTAAGGAGGCAAAGGAATTCTGATTTCTCGACCTCTGATCATTTTATAGGCCAAGAAGATTATAACAGATTAAGGCCACTGAGCTACCGAGGAGCAGATGTTTTTGTCCTAGCGTTCTCCTTGGTTAGTCGCGCAAGCTACGAGAACATACTTAAAAAGGTACATTCTGTTTAAAACTGTGAACTTTGTCAGTTTATGTCAAATGTCTTTTTTTTTTCTTTTTCTGAAAGCCCCCTTTTGGTCAGTGGATTCCTGAACTTCAGCATTATGCTCCTGGAATACCGGTGGTATTAGCTGGCACCAAACTTGGTAAGTTTTAGCATATTTCCTGAATTAGCAATTACAACAGATGCTGAATCCTGAATGTAAGTGCTTTTAGGTTTAATGTCACTTTGTTCTATGATGTGCTTGCTGGAATGCTAATACTGTATTTTGTAGCATAAACTTAAGGGGGCTGGAGGATGGAGGTTAGAAAACGTGAATGTTGAGTCAAGACAACAAAGTGGGCTGGAGTTAATAACAGAGGCAGATGAGTGAAATATTGTACAGTTGCAGGCCTAGGAGTGAGTACTTGAAATTGTCATGGAGATGAGATGGATCTATTTAAAAAAAATTGCAAGCAATAAATGTTAATAACCCCTCAAGTACTAAGCATCTATGCTAATCATGAGTCTATTGCTCTAATCCATTTTGTGTGACACTCTTTCCTTTTTAGTTTGTTCTAGAAAAGAATTGACACTATTTTATATTAGAAACTATTTAATTTTAAATATCCTATTTATCATTAATGACATGATTTTATAGCCGCGGAAATATAATGGCATGTTTAAGACCACAAGGTCCAAAAGTCTCTCTTTCTTTCCTGAACATCGTTTCTAGTCAAACACCTTCACATAAGATGAAAAGGAGAGTGTGTTCCTAACTCACCATACAGGCCTTGCTCTGTCCATCAAAGCGGTTATTATAACTTGGTACGACCAAAAAAAATTGCAGCTACATTGACTTTTCTAACTCAAGTGTTCTGAAGTACAGCAGTAAAGTGGCAACTAGATGGAAAGTCACCTAATTAATAATTTTGCTGTTTTAACATTTGTATATAATAAACCTTCTTCAAAATGCATAAGCTACATATTTTCGCAAGATTGTACTTGCTGCTCCAGATGGGGCACCATATGCTTTGCTAAATTTCAATCTCAAACCCAAAAGCAAAAGCCTACGATGAAGATAGAGCATATTTAGTACATTGGGGAATGAGGAGATATAGATTGCCGCCCTGGCGGCAAAATTTAAAGAATGTACATGGCTACCTTAGGAATGTTGCAGTGGAGACTTAGGTTAACTTCCATTTAGTTTTGCAGTATAGCTTGATAAGTAAGATGTCTACTTCTCTTCAGGGGCCAAACATTTAAAAGCGAATTGCTAATGTTGCCCTTATCTTTTTGATAAAATATTAGATGCTGTAATGGATAGTATTACGGAACAATATTTTCTCCTAAACTTGTATTTAATTTTCCTAGGTTTATTCCTTAAAAACTTCTGGTTGCTCTCTGGTATTTTGTTAAGAGTCTCTGTTCCAACTTGATTGTCCTGAGCCATTAACCTTCTCGCCCTCTAGCTGAAACATAATCTTTCTATCAAGGATGATATTTCGGATACCAAGAGTATTTAGTGCTGAATTATTCTTAATGGTTTAGTCCTTGTAACAACTGACTTTGTGTCCCCTTGATGGAGCAGAATTTAAGATTACATAGTAGAATGGATTTAATTTCTTGTGTAACAATCATTGTTTATTTTCATTGAGTATCTTTATGGAACCAATAAACAAGGAATATACTGAATGCTGTCAGTAATGGTATAGTCACTAGAAGACTCTGCTATAGTCATGTGTGCCCTATTCGCTGTCTACTTGTGAAATTGGCAAGCTCTGCTCATGGTGTGCAATGTTACTTGATTCTAAGTTATGCCTTAAATCTTGTTTTGTCTGGATGATGCTACAGATCTTCGTGAGGATAAGCACTTCTTGGCTGATCATCCTGGATTAGTTCCTGTCACCACCGCGCAGGTCTGCCTCCAATCTGTCACTTGTATCTTGCTCCTTTACATGGCTTTGAATAAATGGGAGGCATAATGATCTCTATATATTCAGGGAGAGGAGCTACGGAAACAAATTGGTGCTGCCTATTACATCGAATGTAGCTCTAAAACACAACAGGTTGGTCAAAGTAGTATCTTTTCTATACAAGTGTTATACATGGTGTTTAACGTTTTCCATGAATTAAAGATTGTAGCTCGTTACAAAAAGGCTGAAAAAAGGTTCAAGATATTTTTAATTTTGAAAAAAGAATTTCAGACCAAACTAATAGTGTTTGTTTTGAATTTTTTTCCTCAAAAAACTGAAAATTATAAAAAAAATTAAAATACTTTTTAGAAACAAATACCACCATGCTACAATGTTGGTCTTGTGTTATTTGTCTTTGCTGCTTCATGGCCGGTACTCTTATATCAAATACTATGGATGTGGATCGATTATCTCTATCTTGTTCGTCCTTAGATAAAGTAGGGTAGATACCCCTTTAAAGGATAGTATTTCCTTCTAGTTGTAGTACTTAAGTGCCCTCAACTTCTTTTTTTTGATGAAGTAATTGGTTTCATTGCTGGCATCAAGAAGATGCATAAATTACAAAAGAGTGTAGCAATTGTTAGCTCCTTACAAATGTTTATACTAGTACTAGGAAGCTAACAAAATTCAAAAAAAAGTGTCAGGGGAGTCTATAGGGGATAGATAAGCCCATCTATACAAATACATGAGGCGTCTAGCCTTGAGTTTGTGGGGAGAAGTTGATACTCCTTCAAAACACCTGATGTTTCTCTCATTCCAAATGCTCCAAAAAATAGCTGTAGGTATCATCTTTCATACTTTCCTGATGGTGCTATCAACTTTCCAGTAACTCCAAGACTCAAAAGCATCACTGATATTATGTGGCATGACTCATCTAAGTCTAAAGAATGATATAAACATACTCCATAAATCTGCTGCAACAGACTATTGAAGAAAAAGATGGTTGTGAGTTTCTGCCTCCCTCTGGCACATGTAGCATCTATTTACAATCTGAAAATTCCTCTTGGCTAAGTTGTTGTGTCAGACAAGCCTCATAAAGTGCAGTTCAGTTGAAGCAGATGACGTTGGGTGGCAACTTGATTTTCCATATTAACTTCCAAGGCCAATGGTTAGTTATTACATTGTGAGTTCCTGCTAACTTGTAGCCCCAGTTCTTCGTAATCAACTCCAGATTTCTTGGTAATTCTTCTCTTCGATTAACCACACAGATACGGGCCCCAAAAAAGTGGACTATATGTTTAGTGTCATCGTCAATATCGACGAAGCCACCACACTTGTCTCCGATGAACTTGAAAGTGTCCGCCGTCCATGCGTGGATAGGAATTCCAAAAGCTTTCACCCATCGATGTTCCGATTTTGCAGATTTCATATCTGCTCTGACCACCGGAGACCACCATTTCAAGGTCAATTCTCTTCCATTCCAGAACCAATCACCAGCTTTGACTCTGTTTGCTTCGTATCTGGAAGGGAACTCAAAAAGGAACTGGTTGTGCTCGATGGGAGTGATCTTGAGACCCGCTGTGACTTGCCATCTGCTTGTGAACCATTTCTGAATCACTTCTGCCTTTGGGCTCAAGCTAAATGAGTCATTGAACTGACCTATGAGACATTTCGAAAGGAAGTTTTCATTTCCCAGCTCTTCCTGGAGTGCACCATGCCCAACATTGGCATTAGTTGTAGTTGGCCAATGTGATATATTAGCAGCTTCCTTGTAAGACCTTGATTGATCAACATAGAGATAAAATATTGGGTCTACATATATTCCCAGATAACCTTGTATCATCCCTGCTATGTCGCCCCATCCTTTATTGTAATTGCCTTCCGGGATAATGATTGCAGATCTGTTCGCCCCTATGATAGCTTCAATTCTAACGAACCGACCATAACTGTTAAAATTTTGGACCACCCGAAAAGTGTATGTTTGTACCTTCCTGCCCCATCTTTTGCAGTTGTTGCCGGTCTGAAGAGAAGCTTGGATCAAAACTTCGCACACCCATCAGAGGTTGCTGTCATCTATTTTAATCTTGCTTGAAAATCTTCTGCTACATTCTGTAAAAATATACCATCCCATAGCTTCCTCGTTGATACTAATTAACTCAAAAGTTTTGCCACTAGAATTGAAAGTGAGCCCTCGATCCATAGCTAGGCAAATTTAGGAAAGACATCGTCGGAGTTTAGAGATGAGGGTGGGAGAGAGAAAGTGATTCTGGCACATTCCCCAATAGAGAGCATTTTTGATGCTGTATCACATCTCTTTCTTTATTGGAATAGTTGGAAATTTTCTTTTTTTAACGATTGCAACACTCTTGTCAACTTCTTTAAGTAGGTGAATGACTATAGTAGGCGAATGTATTATGTATATTAATGAAAATATTTGTCAAACCTCTACTATTTGTGGTATCGTTTTTAATCAACTGACTGAAAATGTCAGCATATGCTTTCCCTAGCCAAAGTTCTCAAGTTCCACCCCTATTAACATCGGCCATATGCAACCTAATTTACATTGGTAGGCTGACGATTCAGCGGATTCACTATGAGGTTGCCAAAATAAGTGTTTCTAGTGTCTAGTCTGCTTTGAGTCTTTTGGAGTTTAAAATAGTGGTAGCACAGACATTGCTGTAGTTAGTGGCAATTTAAAAACAATCCTGTACTTTTGTAAGAAACATTTTGCTATCCCTATTTATCAAAATGAAACTTCATTCAGCGACTGAGTTTTTTTCATTTTCTGGAGGTCTCTGGTTTATTCATTTGCGTCAATCTTCAAATATCATCCAGGCTTGTGTTATAACATCCTTTGACTGAATATCAACCTGATTTCCAATTGAAGTGGAGAAAAGAATGATTAGAATAGATTATGAATCTTTAACTTGCAAAGCATGGCCATACATTTTTTGACTTCCTCTTTTCTTCTTCCTTGCTCTGCTGGCTATGTGTGTGTGCGTGGTTGTTTGAGAATTTCTTGACATAGTAAGACAACATCACCAATGAAGCTATTCATGTAAAAAGCAGGCCCGGTTGGCCAACCTTATTTTGAAAATTAGTTCAAGACCTTAAGCTTCCAATTCAAACTTGTACCAATTAGGACCAGTTTAAGTATTGAACATTCCAGATATTGATCTCTCTTTCTAACTTTACTATTCCTAAGAATCCTCCTTCCACCTGGTATGACTCCTGATTTTTTCCTTCCACATTTTCTTTACTGAAGATGCAAAGGCTCTTCTGTTTGTTGCTTGATGGTTGTCTACTTTTGTTTTTGTTGCTAGACTATTTGTTACTGATCTTACATTGCCTATTTAATTTAAAGAATGTGAAAGCTGTCTTTGATGCTGCAATCAAGGTCGTCATCAAGCCACCGCAGAAGCAAAAGGAGAAGAAGAAACAACGTCGAGGATGTCTCATGTTAGTAACTCTCGTAACCTTCTCTGTTAAAATCAGTTTTTGATCTTTGTATTATATGGAAATGTGCTACATGATGTTTACTGAATTAATGGTGCGCGGTTCTCCATTGACATATTAAGTTGACATACAAAAACAATAGTTGTGCTACTTTGTCGAACCTCTATGCTTTGCTGAAGGGTCTCCTAGTGACTAAATAATTCCTTTTTTTATAAGAAAAAGAAACAAGGAATAATTGTTCTTATGTGTGGCCCAACTTTTTGTTTGACTGACAACTCAAAACATTTTCAATATAGGGTAAAGTCCTTAGAACATGCAAGTCTAATGATACTATTGTATATGTAGAGGTACCCTGACTTCATACCACGTACAATGTATGAAGACCAACTGAGAGACTCATCATTTGTTTTATTTATTCATCTCATACAAGAATATGTATTTATTATCCTGCATTGACTTCTAATCTACGAGTTTAAACTATAAATACAAAACAACTCCAATTTTGAATTCTTGCTGTCCTGCCTGGTTAACATCAATTGAACCAGAAGACAAAGTTCTCTGTTCTAGAGATAGCTGTGTCTGCAAAATTAACAGATTGCTTTACCCCAGAATTATGGTTTTATAAACAGTTTGCGCCAATGAAAAATCTGATGAAAATAACAGTAATCTTTTCACGCGAGAACTATTTTATTCAGAGGAGGAATAACTACAAAGCACTCTGTTCTCTTTCCTTTTTTCCTTCCTCTCCACTCTTTAGTGTTTCTTGTGCTTTTCACATGTGGAATTTTTTTAGCGCCTCTAATATTGATTTGAAATAAGAAATTCAGCAGATAAATTCAACAAGTGTTGATTTGCAGCTGCCTAAATGCCGTTGTGAAATGATTTGTATAGATACTTGAGAGAATTCACGTAAAGTCGTGCATGCGAATGCGTACTTTTTTGGGTAAGGGTGTTTGTGTGATATGAATAAAGTTCCAGTGAGGCTGCGGCCTATCATTACAGTTGTTGCGGTTAAAGTGACTGCACTAGCAAGTAGCAACAATTTTTGGTTTATATTCCATTTCTATGTTATCTTTATTAGCTAGCCTACAAAAGTTTGATCTATGCAGTGCTAGCTTAGGGAAGAGTATGGATACAGTCAACTCTTCAGACCAAGGCTTCTTCTAACAAAAGTTTTTAAACAGAGACATAAGGATATGAAAGAGAGTAATAGGGCCCCTCTCGTCTCTAGTATCCAATCTGGCCTTCTGGAAAAAAAAAATCATTTGGATGACCTATTTGACAACAAGTAGACTATAGAAAGTGTGACAAACTTCTAAAGTCGAGACTTATGACCTGTTTTTGAGGGTTATGGCCGGTGTTGGCTTTCACTAAATCGTGAGATATCTAACTGGTCCTTGAAGCTTCTTGAAGATTGGACTCTTCTTGATAGATTTATCACGGTGTTCCTTCATATTGACTTGCCCCCATCGGAAGAGGAAGGGAAGTCTTCAACTAATCCTGAAACCCCAAAATATCCGGTTCCTGGGTCGTCGTCGTTGTTGTTGTATCCGGTTCCTTCTCCATAACTTAATATATTACACAAAGATTACTCTGAAGATCTCAGTTCAACTTAGGAGATTTGTGTCCACAGAACTTTGACCATTGCGTAATATCACTAGTGCCAAATGAACAAAAGATTACAGCCTCAGCTCAACACATCTATCCTCAATTTTATATGACTTCGTTTCAGTATTTGAGCTGATAACCTGGTGGCAATTATCAGCAGCCTCAAGTAGAATGGGGTTTAATAGTCACATGAAAGCTTTTGCCCGAATAAGTAAGGCAAATGAGGTAAACTTAAAGAACGTTTATTGCTACTTCTGGATCTTTGCCTTTTATTTTATTCCTGAGTACTATCTGATCTTGACATACTGATGGCGAGATGAACTGTCATTACCAAATAGCTTAAGTATTATCCTGTGGAAATCCTTGTCCAGTGGCGCTCGCCGATGCTGATTCCTTGCTACTCCCTCCGTTTCAATTTATGTGAACCTATTTTCTTTTTAGTTCGTGCCAAAAAGAACTCATTTCCATAGTTAGAAACAATTTACCTTTATTCCATGATTTATAGCTACACAAAATATATGTGTCTAATTTTACACAAGTTTAAAAGTCTTGTCTTTTTTCTTAAATTTTGTGCTCAGTCAAATAGGTTCACATAAATTGAAACGGAGGGAGTACTATTTAAACATCCTACTTCTAACACTACCCGATGAAAGAATTATAAACATCTGGTTCGAGAACTGTATCTAATTTGCAACAAAATACAAAAGAAGATATTCTGCGTTTAATTTGTGGTTTAATATTCACTAATGATCCCTTGACATAATTGAGACTTTGATTGCTGAGACGTTGTCATTGACTTTTCAGTTTTGTCTGTGTTCTGAAATGGAATTCCTTGCAACATAGCATACTTTTGAGTTTTGCTCCTGCTGTTAAGACATCCAAGTTTTGTGTTTTTGCTAAGGATGTTAGTCTTCGCAATGTTTCCTTGCAAAATAGCATTGTTAGTCTTCGCAATGTTTGTTTACCGCTCTCCTGTAATACTAACTTATCTCACCTGGTACTGCAGGAATGTGATGTGCGGAAGGAAGCTCGTTTGTTTGAAGTGACATTTCAATGTACATATTTCCCATCTGTTCGGCCTCTAACATGATTTATATCCATGGCTTTAGCGTGCTGCCTATAAAACTTACATTTCTATCAGAACTTTTGTGACGAGCATAATGTATTTGTTTTTCCATAACCCAACTTACTGCTGGACGGCCTTGATTTGTCTGTAAAATACGTTACTTGCTAGGTTTATATTTCAAGTACATGTATTAATTCTATTAAACCAATCACTCGCTGTTTACCAGAAGCTACGCAAGGGGCTGCAGTAAGTAGATTAGGGAGTAATGTGTGCTAGCGTTTTTCTTGAATATAGCAAGAGAAAGAATACTGGAGATGTACAAAATAAACTACACTGTCATACCTGTGGAGTCCATCTTTCATGGTAGTAGGTTTCATACCAAGTTCGTGAGCTAATATATGAGTTTCTTGAGCAATGGATACACGGTTATTAACCACAACCCCAATACCTTTGTACGAGAGCTAACAAGACAACAAGATTGCATTTAAAGGAGAGAGTAACACAATAATATTGCATCACAAGCTTGCAATCGGACTTCACATTCTAAATTGTGGAACCATGTGAAAACTCCCAATACAGCCAATCGGAGCAATTGCACAACTCATACTTGGAAAAAAGCAAATGAGAACTCTCTTGGGTTATAGGAGCAATGGAAAAGGGAAGATGAAACAAAAAATGAGCTGCGAATCATCACAGCAGACAGAAATAAACAATGGTCCCACTCCATACTTGTGGTTTCTGTGATTAATTACCTGCACAGAAGCATATCAGGTTACACCCAAACCAGACCGCAATCTCTGCATTGTAGATTACTCTGCATTCACACTTGATGATATGCATACTCAGCTCACTTGATAATTAACATAGCATCAATATGAGGACCGGCCATTTAATTGTAGGTTACAGCTAAACAGTGATTATTGGAACAGCCATAACAACAAGACAACCCTAACCCATGCAAAAGCTCCACCCATTTAATTTCTCCAAATCAGAAAACAGAAGTTGTCTTTTCGTTGCTCACAAGACTGTTGGTTCAGATTAGTAGCTTGAAAGAAAAACAAGCACATCACCCCACCATCATTGAAAATATCATTAACAAGAGTTCTATCATCTGTGAATGAGACTACAAACTAACGTTAGAACGATTTAATTTATGGTACAATGGCAGCCACAACAACTAAAACATGCCTGATGAAAGCATTAGTACCAAAATTTGGTGTCAACCCTGTATACATATGTAATGGGCAAAGGAGGACAGAGAAAAGCCAAGAACACGGGAAGCAATGAAAGATGATTAACAGCAAAGCACAAAGAAAAGCTTTCCGTTTGATTCAGTCTCGAAATTGGACCTCCATTGTCAATAATTTGGACAGGATAACATTGATTTATCCCCAGTCCCTGGGCATCAAAGATTTCAAGCTTTCCAACAGTTAAATATCTACAGAGGGAAAACTCATCTGCATCCACCCAGAGAATATAGCTGACCAAAGTGCAGTGCTTGCAAACCATGGAAATCCCAACTACACTGATAAGCTGAAGAGGTGGTGGTCGGAGACTCTGAACACATCAAATTTGCTCACTTACCGCCCACCCACAGGAGCATGCCAGAAGCTGAGAGTTTGAGGAGTTAGCCAAGTCCATCCTCCAGTAGCTGCGTTAAAAGGAAAAAGAATAATAAAATGGGGTGTAAAAATGTCAGCCACACCAAAAATATAGGAAAAAATCTCCGAAAATAAACACAACTCAAAAAAGGAATGAAGGGGCATCAACAAGAAGGACAAGGAATATAGCTCTGAGATACTGGGGAAGAAAGTTTGATTTTCTTTTTCTCAAGCATTTTCTCTTCTTCGAAGGATGGGGATTTAACGACCTACTGGAAATAGATTTTCAGGAGGGAGAAGAAAGCAACTATAATATGTCTCGATAATAAGACAGAAGACCCAAGCATTTCCAACTTCAAAAATATTTTATTCTTTCAGAATATATCAAACTAGAAAAAGAAGAAAGCATGCTTCAGCAGAAACCTTTAAAATAATTGTGCACAAAGGTGCAAGCGAGCGTTTCATTGGTTGTATATCATAGTTTCTGCGCAGGAGTAACAGCTCAAATATATATGAATGCACAAGCTTACAGTTTGCGTTACGCAATCTTAATGCATGATGTCCTAGCGCTTCCCTACATAGAAGTTCCATTCAAATGCTTAAACAATGTAGGAGGTACAGGTCATACTTTGAAGTGTAAAGGCTAAAAAAGAATCTGCTGAGCTAACAATAAACGTACAAATAACACACGCCTCACCTTATAAAATCACCAGATTGCAGATCTTAGTGCCATGACTGCTTGAATCTGAAGTTCTCACTGTCCCACCCACCCTCAGGCTCCTTCCTCTTCAGAACACCCCCAGGTACAGCATACATTCTACCATGCTCGTCTGCTAATGCTTGTGAACCGGCAACAGAGAGTTGCCTTGCCGACAAAGAAACCGACTCTTCTCTCCCTTCCATGTCCACCACTCCAGGGCCTGCATTAAGATCCAGACCCTGCCTTCCCCATTTTCTATTGTGATCCATGGTACCGTTGCTGCTACTGTCAGGAAGTCCAACCATATAAGGCCTTGGATATTGAGATGACACAGCGCCAACGGGACCCAGCAACTGTGAATTTACAGGGGGCGTATAAAGCCGCCCACCAGAGGAAGAATCTACGAAAGAAGCTGATCCAACTGAAAATGTTGCAGAAGGAAGTGGGAAGCTCGTTCCGAAAGGAAATATAGGATACTGAAAAGGGGAGGATGGGTAAGGCACGGCAGGCGATGATGACAATACTGAACTCCGGTAAACATCCGCGGTGAAAGGAGAACCAGCAGCAGGAGGACCCAATATTCGTTGTGCACCAGGTGTGACCATTGGGAATGGCAGCTGCTCCACACGATCAGGCAAAATTGATGGAAGTGTCACAGTTGAATAAGTATTCCCAGGAGTAAACCAAGAAGAAAGATTCCCCATTTCTGGATTGTTCAGTCTGAGGCTAGAAGCAGGCAGTTGGGAACGCATGCTTCCCTGATGATTATCGTGGAATAAAAACTGTTCTGCGCTGGAATCATCAACACCAGGCCCATTATTTAAATCAAAGTCCCTCCTCACCTCCCCAGTTGGCAAGCCAATGGATGATGATGTTTTGGAAGGTAAAACTACACCATCCAATCTACTACTGCTACTCACAGAGCACTGCCCTACATCACCAGGTTCATCAACTCTATTTAAATCAAGATCGAGTCCTCCAGAACAGCGAACAGCAGGAGAATCAATTACTTCATTCTTCAGTGCAGCACGATTAGTCATATGGTCCAATGGAGAGATCAACTCTAGAGCAGAATCTCGAGAATTTATTTCATCAAAAGTTCTTTCATCTGGTACATTCAGATCAATATCTAATTGTGGACGACTGTGCTTGCTGGTAGAAGCTTCAGGATGAGAGATATTTGTGGAACTTAATGGCATATCAAGAGATTTCCTGGGCTCAGCTGGGCGAAATGCACTTGTGGCAGCAGATCCTTTCCATCCAAATTCCCCTTTAACCCTCAATAGCTCCTCCGGTGGAACAAACGGACCTTTGGCGGCGGCAGCCACTGTAATGGAGGCAGGAAGACTACAGGAAACTGAGGATACCGCAAAAGGTAACGGGTTCATAATATGGACATTGGATAGAGATCCAGGTCCTGTAAAGTTGATTGTCTCCCCGTATTTTCCTTCATCAGAAATAAGACCTTCATTTAAGTCAAACTTCACCTTTGAAGCTGAATCTGGAACAGCAGCACAGACCGAAGAAGTCTCCAGAGTGGCGGATCCACAGTCCTTTGTTTTATCTTCTTCAACAGCAGAGAAATTTGATTCTCTAGATTCCCCATGTTTCAGCACTTCTGCATTTGAAAAACCAGGTCTCTCTTTCTGATTGAGTAACAAGCCAGAGTTCTGCACAGTGACATCCTTCCTTTCAACGGTAGTTTCACTTTTCTGATTTCTTGTAGTAAAATCAGTATCCACACAGGCTTTATCCTCAGCTGAAGCATCAACAGCTCCTTGATCAGATTTTGTCTTTTCAGACAGATGAACAAGACTTATATTTGCTTCATCAGACTGTCCACCTTTGTCTGTATTGGGATTTCCACTTGAACTAGTTGGTAGACGCTCTTCCTTGTCACTTGCCTCCATCTTTTCAGATTTTGCCACAAAAGATGGTTTCATCTCGATACTAGCATTGTTCAACACCCTATTCACACCATTCTTGCTCTCAATTTCAAATTTAGAAGTGCAGACTTCAACTGTTGGTTTCTGGTCTTCGAAGCTTACTACTGCATTACTGACCTTGTCTTCTAATACTGAAGTACAATTTCTACCTATTTTAGCATCTAGAGCACCAACAACCTTGACCTCACGGGACACCACCTTCTCCTCCTGGGATTGTTTGCTTATATCACAATCAATTACCTTCTCAGATAGACTATGAGGTGAAGAAGCAGCCTTTTCCATCTCACCTGACTTCTCAGTGATCTCCAACTTCACTCCAGCCGGCTGTGAATCAATGCAGGGAGAGTTGAACTGTTTGTTGTATCCTCCTGTCATTGTCTCTTCAGGAGGTAAAAAAGAGGCCTTTCTATCTCCAGAGAACTCTGTAGCAGCACCCTTGGATGGATGCAGTTTATTCTCCGACCATGAAGTACTAGCACTAACAACCAGTTTCTCTCTATCACCATCATCATCATTTCTACGGTCACCAGTGGAGATATCAGCCAGAGGTGACTTTGACTTGACATCATCACCTGTGCAAGCATCTTCAGCAGCAGGGGTATTTCTTTGCGGAGAAACAGAAGGTGAAACCATGTCAGACTTGGACATTTCTTCAGCAGCCACATTGGCAAGAAGATTCATTCCAATAGCATCAGCCAATAACATAGGCACGTTTGCTTCAGAATATTTTACACAGCTCTCAATCAAAGCATTCATGGAGCTAAAAGAAGCTTCGTGCAGTTTTCCAGACTTCAGTTCGATCCCTGATGTACAAGCAGCTCTAGCTTCTGCTGATTTCCTGCCCTCATCAACAATCTTGCTTCGCTCTTCCTCCGGACCAGTAGCTGGTGATCCATCACCGTCTTCAGAACCGGTTAGTACATCTTTGAAATCATTGCTCTGCCACGATTCAGCTTTCGCATTTTCTTTTAATGTTCGGTCAAATTGATCATTCTTTTCAGAAAGCACAGGAGAAGAAGCTCGGCTGCTCATGTTCGTAGGGTCCTCATAGGATCCTGCACTGGCACTCTGTGCAGGACTGCGTCCCCTGTTAGATATCTTAACTATCAATTTGTGGTTGTGACCACTCCCCTCGAGAACTGGCACATCAACAGCTTTCTCACCACTCAATGCAGACTGCGGTAGCTTTTCTGAGGTAGGATTCCTATGTGAACTTCTGCCTGCAGCACTCTCCTTTTGGCTTCCAGATACTGATGATCCAGGATATCCATTAATTGACTTACGGTGACGAGAACCGCCCGTGGAGATCTTGATGCTGTTCATTGACACTGCGGTCGAACTTCTCCCGTCCTCCTTCCCCGAGAACGACTGACTGTGGTTGTGAGACTGGCTAGAACTGCTGCTCTTGTCTTCCCTTGCTAAAGGAACATCACAGGATCCACCAACTGAAACTCTGGGCTGACCCTCCTTTCCAGATGCAGGTGATGATGCTGGTTTTGTTGAGCCCGGGGACAAGGACGCAGACTTTGTAGTAGTTTCCCCTTGTGAAGGCTTTATCGAGGCCATTTTAGATGCAGAAAGCTGTGCAAGTGCACCCTTTGTCGCATCATTTGAACCACCAGGATTTTTGCCAACATTATGAGAAGCCTCGGGCAATCTTGATTTAGAAGGCCACGTGACAGCCTGATTTGAACCAGACTTGGCATCAATGATGTTCATCTCAGCTTCAACCCGTTTCTTCCACGTGTCAACTAAACTTCGCGCCTTCCTCTGTATTTCCGTGTTTTTATGCTGCCGCAAGTGATTAACAGACTTGCCAATATTGCACATCTGCAGCGCTTGAAGGTTCACAGGAAGCTTATCAAGAGCACGAAGCAAAATGAAGAGAAATTCTTCAACCGATTTGTCACTATCTTTTGTGTTGCTATATTCACCAATCCGCCCCTTATGAACATCTTGAAGCCACTCGTCTAACACAGGCAGACCTCTTAACTGTACAAACCTAGTAAGACAGTCAAAATTGTCAGTTGCCGCTACAACACTTGCAAGCATCGAACGACTGATCAAATCCATTTTCCTATCCATTCTATCTGGCTGCATGAGCTGAACTAGCTTCTCAACCCCTTCAGAGTTTACAAGCCCTCCTTTGTCTGTAATTTTAGAAATTTCAGATTTTAGTACACTTTCAGCTTTGATTTGACCAGAATCTATATCATCTGTCTTGATTGAACGTTCACGTTTAATTGACTCGGAGCCCTGATCTCCCCGCTCCCTCTTCTTTCCCTTGACGTGTGAAGGAAAAGAAGCTACACTGCTTTGTACATTATCTGAACCCGGCTTCAATTGTGATGTTGACATAGAACCATTCATTGGTTTCGGAGAGCGACCACCCGGTTGCACTGTTGCATGCATCTCTACTCGTGTCTTGTTTAATAGTTGGTCTACTTCTTCTTGTAGCTCCTGCACAGGAGCAGAAGTACTGTATGAGTGAAAGATGAGAAAGCAATCAGAAAAATAAAGAATGAAAAGTGTGCAATTTCTGCTTTCTCCTAGCATCTCAGACGCCACCCTCGACCCAAAAAAAGAGCCCCAAAACACTTTTACTTCTTTTATGAAAAAAGATCCAAGGATTAAAAAAAAGAATCTCTCTTTTTGTTGAACCATCAGCCCTGACAGGACTTGTCTGCTCGAGGATAAATAATCTCCTACAATTTAACAGAAGGAATACAGAGCTATCAAGCGATAATAACCTACTTTGATGTAATCTTGGTCAGTTAACCACCATAAACACTTGTTTGAAATGTCATAAACACGCCGGCAGATAAATGAGGATATCCCTGTTGGAAGTTCAGCACCTTTAGAAAGGAATGCAACTTTACACGGATGCAGTAGTGATGCAGCAGGAATCTCATCCCTATGAAAGGAATAAAAGATTTCGTTGGGTGCGGCCTCCGGAAGGATGCCCTTGCTAAGCTTCAGCTCAGCAGGTCGATAAAGCCAATTAACACCTAACTGCAGGTTATTATCTTTACTCAATGTAAGCCTTCGGATTATTCCAATGAAAGGTGGGGAATCGTGTGGTGGTTTGAACAAAGCACAATCGCCCACAATAACTTTGCGACCATCCTGCAAAGAAAGGATAAATTTTCAACTTCACCGAGTAACGATGTTAAATCAATAAAGAAACACGCAATAAATTCACATAACTAGAAGCAAACCATGCAACGCTAATAAATGAACTCGTAAGCAAAAGAGAAAGACATAAATAGCTGAAAGCTCATCCACATCTTTCATGTTGTATAAAAACTTGCAGTCGAGTAGGCTACGTATCTTTAGGTTAATTGGCAATTTTATTTCCAAAAACTTCATTAAGTACAACCAACAGATGGCGATCCATGCAAAATCTTGTAGATGATCAAGTTTGAAGTGACTTTACAATTTAACTGCTTGCTTCATATAAGCATCAAACAAGACTCAATAAAAGTGCACGAGTTACAATGATGTAGTTAATCTAAGATATAAATTTTCCCCTACTTTGTAAAGCCGCTATCTGCATTGCTTCCTAAAGATTTATTTCTAGCAGCAAGAAATTTCTCCAAACACATAATATGCATGCTTCTACACTGTAACTTTGCTAGCTTAATTTTTATCTGGCGAGCTCCTCCTGAATCCCTTTCTTCCCTTACGCAAACAACGGAACCAGCAGAGTTTTATTGCCGAAGCTCCACTTGGGTACAATCTACTTTGTGACAGCATGGCAGAAGCGATGTAAGAGAGAATGTATTGGAGCATCTTTCATCATTTCAGTAATATTTTCACGGACAAGAATAGCAATAAGTTGTTGACTTCAGGTTGGGGCCAACATCTTTGGTGCATTGATAAAATTCTTTGGAAGAGCTATTTGCTAGAAAAGAAACAAGTATTTTTTGTAACTTTCTTGTACCCTCCGAATGAAAACTTGAAACCAGCAATGACAACCTTACCTTGCTGGAAATGTCAAAATTAAACAAATGCAGAAGCATAACAACATTATCATTTAACATGAGAAAGTAAGAAGCAAAACTAGTTCCACATGATCAAGTCCAGTTTCCACGCACAAAGTACCACATTATGGACCTCTCCGAAAACCGGAACAAGCTACTTTTGAATGCAAATAATGCACTATATCCAAATGCAACACCACGACAAGCTTCACTGACTTGAATGATAAGATCTTAAAACAACTTCCAGTCCATGATACAGAGTATGCCCATTTTTCACAAACTTGAGATGAAAAAAATATACTTAAAGAAAAAACCGGCAGAAGGACAGTTAGAGACACAAATCCCTTGATAAGTACTACTGGAGATCAGTCTGCAACCTGAACTGGGCTTGCAGTATACCTCAGATAAAAACAACAAAAGCAAAGTACCCAAAAACGGAAGAAATTTTTTAAGGCAAACGCAATCAAATGAATCGAAGCAATAGAAAAGAATAATAGGCAAAACGAGAAATTAAGGAAGACAAAAAGGAAAAACCCACCAAGGCAATACCTTGCAGAACGAATCAGAGGTAATAGAAGAAACAACAGAAGAATGAGCGGCGGCTACAGTGGTCGTGGTCGTCGCCGGCATGTGCTGACCACCAGTCGTCGAGCGTCGACAAACCTCACTTTCCCTTTGTCCCTTCCCATGCAGCATAATACAATTCGACTGGCATCTTCAGCACCTCCTATAACCAGCCCAGCCTCAAACATCAATTATCCTATCCAATCCAATCCAATCACCAGTCAATTGAGAGCAATATCAATTTACTTCACCAAAACCCTAGCAAAATCCCCAATTTCTCCAATCCCCTTGAAACCCTAGAAATCCCAATTTCTCCCTCGATCGCCTTAAAATCCTCAGAAACCCTAATTCCTTAATTCAATTCCAAGGACAACGCGTCAATTCTCCGATCTGCAACCCATCAAATGAAAGGTTAAAAACTCCAGATCCAATTAATTCGATTCATACTTGCACAAATACAAATCAATACTTACACAAATATACACATAAAGAGACATATATCGACATACAAAGAGAGAAAGAGCTAACCTCCGTATTTCTTACGACCTAGATGAGTGAGAGAAAATGTGTTTTAGAGAGAGAGAAAACTGTGGCTGAAGAGACGAAGAGATTATAATGTATAAATATATAATTTAGTTTAAATAAATAGAGCGATGTGTGTGTTTTGTACGTGCGTGTGTGTGAGAGAGAGAGGGGGAAAAAAAAGAAAATTAAACCTTAAAAAAAAAAAAGGTAAGAAATCAGAAAGAGAAAATGATGTCCCAGACGGCAAAGGGAAAGTTGTACTTACTTGTTACTTTAGGTTGTAGAGAGAGAAAAATAGAGAGAGAGAGAGAGAGAGAGCGCGGGCAGATCGGGCAGAAGGGGCAGGGCAATGATAACATCACCCACGTAGGAGTTAAAAGAAAAGGGAGAGATGTGGAATGTGACTGTGACTGTGACTAAACTAAACTAAGGTTTGTGTTAGGGTCGGATTGACTGATCTACGGCTATGTTGTAGCGTGAATCATTTGACTTTGTTTTCCTATGTCACGCCCTCTCTTTTTTCTTATCTGTGTCTCTTTTTCTGTGGGAATTTTTATTGGTGTTGGATTCATCACAATTCACATACCCAATTGTTTGTTCTGTTTTCGTACGCATGTGGTTGGGTGATTCAGAAGGGCAAATGTGAGAATTTATTGTTTGATGGAGGGTTGATTTGGAGTTTTAAGAAATTGGAGGGGGTTCTTTGGTTTTAAGTGATGTGGAAGTAAAGTGTAAAAGGGAATAATATGGGCATTAAGGTTGTCTTCAGATGTACCAACACTTCATGTAGTATGTTTTCTGAGCCACTCCTTCCTTACTCTGCTGCCCAAAATTGGGTGCAGAAAATTTTGCAAAAATAAAAATAAAAATAAAAATAAAAAAATGTGCTGTTCCATTCACTGAGGTTGCACTTTGTTGTGATCATTTAATTATAGTGTGAGCAAGAATATATCGCCTTATAAGTCAAGAAAAATATTTTCTTCTATAATAACTTTCAAAAAAATCACGCGACACATAATATTATGAATCTTATTGTAATATGTTAGTGATTGAATTTTGATAATAAGATTGATGTTTTTTTATCCTTTTAAAACTTGTAATTTCCCAAATCTTGTACTCCATAATTCTTCCTTGCTACTTCTTAATTCATTGTTTTTAACCCTTTCCCCTTGTTTTTATGGTCTTCCTGTGCCTTCATTATATTAATTATTATCTATGGCACCTCATAATCCCCTAAATTCCCATATTTTGTTCTACATTTAAATAAATTTTCATGATGCTTTCTCCCTTTTAGAAATTTTAACACACATCTCATCAGCAAAAACTTCATGTTGCTATCATGTTTGAGGATGAGAAAGGAAAAAGAAAGAAACTAAAGGATCATTTGGTTGCCGGTTAGAGAGGAGTTATTTATATATTAAAATTGGCGTAACTTTATACATTGTTTGGTGACAAAAATTAAAAAAATAATCCCAACGTAGAATCTAACATAAGTTATACAATATTTGGTTGTTTTTTTTTTCATTTGTACATAAAACATAGCATAGCTAATACAATGTTTAGCTCCACATGACTAATATATGTATAAGTTATGAGAGAATCTATGTATTATTTTATGCAGGGTAGAAGATGGAATAACAATATGTGTATTAGTAATACTTAAATTAAAACATAAAATGGCAAGAATACTCTCTATTAAAAAAATTATATTTGTTTTGTTTAAAAGATATATTTAAATATAATAACAATTTTAATTATAATATTTAATACCCACATTATATTTATGTATTACTAATCACTATATAGCTAATCATGTATAACAACTTCACATAATTAATTCTCGCGTAACTAAATCTTGCATAACTAATGTCTACATTACTAATGCCCTTAACTGTTTAACAGAGATTTAGTTTTGGATATTATTTTTTGAATGTGTGAAATGTGATATTCAATGAGTATATTGATACTTGCCAACTTTTATTAACGAGTGCTTTACTCTTAGTTAGAGAACAAGTTCTTTATTTCTTTCCTATATACGGCGATTTTTGTAATATTTCTACAACAAACTAAATAAGATAATAAATTCAACATGAGATTAGGTTGAGGTAGTAATTACACTTTCTATATTTTTAGAAATGTTTAAATTGAAGATGAACATAACTTGACAAACATGTGACGCACATTTATAATTATTACTAAACTAAAATATACACAAACTAAAACCATGAAATATTTGCCATAAAATGTTCCTTTAAGTCGGAGAGCAAATTAATTAATTGAATTTCCAAGGTTTGAATTTAAGCACTGGATCTCATGTATAAGAAGAGAAAATTCTACAAAATCTATGAACACAAAGTAGAAAGCCTTAGCAACACTGAAAATTTTGCCACGTTAGCTAGTGTATCTAGTTTAAACTTGGAAACAAAAATGTTTGTTATTCTAAAATTTAGTTTGAAAATACTTAATTTTGGCTTGAAAAGCTGTGATCCTAATTAAAAGTGAAATTAACCATGACAATACAATATTTCCAAAACATACAGAAATCTTAGAAAATCATGACAATACAATAAACGTACTATCGTTTATGACTGCATGTATTAATAGATCAGTAAACATATAATCTATTCCTTAATCATGTTTTTATTGCTTTTAACGCATAGTTCAATGAAATAAAAAGTACATTATGGAGGCAGAAGATCTACTAATTATTGATTTAGTTGCGAACCTCAGTTTGCATTTCATAATTGTTTGACAAAATTGAGTATTTGTATTTAATAAGCATTGCGCTTATGAATTATGATTACATCCCAAAGTACGTTATTTTATTTTCTAGTTTGTCATTGATATAAACAAATTCTTTCTGTGATAAAAATTAGATGGCAACAAGAATATGTATAAGATTTGGGATTTGTACAAATTTGGATTAATCTTAAAAAAGCTGAATGGAAATATACATTGTAAAAATACTTAAAATTACTATACATGGTAAATGTGAAATGTAATGTACGTAATGTGATAAAATTGTACTTTCTTAATGTCAAATTGACTTCCCCGTTTCTTTCTTATAGTTCGCCAAATGTATGCTTTATTTAAAATTAAATTTTTTAAAATATATTCTTTCATGTTCTCCCTCAACAAATACAAATTTGTTATAAAATAAAGACAGTAAAGTAAAGAAACTGAAGACAAGTATAGAGAGAAACTGATATATTATTCAACTTCAAATTCATGTATATAATGAACTGAAAACTCCTATATTTATAGAAGAAAGGAAGCAGCTGCGAGACTTTTCAGAAAGCAGCTGCAAGGCTTTTCTTTAGTTGCTTGTAAGCTGTCTGCATGAGCTGCTTGCAACCTGCCTGTTTAATAAGAAGCTGCTGCAAATCATTTCATTGAGCTGCTTGCAACCTGCCTGCATCAGCTGCTTGTAGATAAACTTCAACAGAGTTCTAAATGGATAATCTTCTTCAGGAAGATTATCTATAGCGGAGTAATAAATGAACATCCATAATATAATTATTTTCATAACACTCCCCCTTGGATGTTTATTAAAAGATAATGTGCCTCATTAAAACCTTACTAGGAAAAAAACCCTGTGGGAAAAAATCCTAGTGAAGGAAAAAGAGTACACATATTTAGTAATACGCATTGCTAGCTGCCTCATTAAAAACCTTATAAGAAAAACCTTGTGGGAAAAAATCTTAGTAAGAAAAAAAGAGTACATCGCGTATTTTACTCCCCCTGATGAAAACCTTGTTTCAAATATTTAAGTTTTTGCATTCCAATCTTGAATACTACCTTCTCAAAAGTTGAAGTTGGTAAAGATTTAGTGAATAAATCTGCCGGATTGTCACTTGAACGGATTTGTTGCACATCAATGTCACCATTTTTCTGAAGATCGTGTGTGTAGAATAATTTTGGTGAAATGTGCTTCGTTCTATCTCCTTTTATAAATTCTCCTTTCAATTGGGCTATGCATGCAGCATTGTCTTCATATAAAATTGTGGGTCTTTTATCACATTCCAACCCATATTTTTCTCGAATAAAATGAATCATTGATCTCAACCATATGCATTCCCTACTTGCTTTATGAATAGCTATTATCTCAGCATGATTTGAAGAAGTAGCAGCAATAGATTGCTTTGTGAAGCGCCACGATATGACAATACCTCCACATGTAAATACATACTCGATTTGAGATCGAACNTACCTCCACATGTAAATACGTACCCGGTCTGAGATCTAGCTTTATGGGGATCAGATAAATAACCTGCATCTGCATAGCCAACAAGATCTGCACTGTCTTTGTTAGCATAAAACAAACCCATATCAAGAGTTCCCTTTAAATATCGCAATATATGCTTAATCCCATTCCAATATCTCCGTGTAGGAGAAGAGCTATATCTTGCTAGTAAATTAACAGAAAATGCTATGTCAGGCCTTGTAGCATTAACAAGATACATAAGTGCATCAATTGCACTGAGATAGAGTATTTCAGGACCAAGGAGTTCCTCATCCTCTTCTGGAGGTCAGAACGGATCCTTATTCACTTCAAGTGATCGAACACCCAATTGGTGTACTTAATGGGTGTGCTTTGTCCATGTAAAAGCGTTTTAAGATATTTTCTGTATAGACAGATTGATGAATAAATATCTCGTCTGCTAAATATTCAATTTGCAGATTAAGACAAAGTTTTTCCCTTTGGAGCTCTTCTGGAGTTCCTATGATATTTATGCCATTAACATAAATAACAAGTATAACAAACTATGATGTTGTTTTCTTTGTAAAAATGCATGGACAAATGCCTTTATTTACATAATCTTCATTCATCAATTCAGTGAGGCGATTATATCACATGCGCCCAGATTGGTTTAAACCGTACAAAGATCTTTGTACTTTGATTGAATGCATTTCACGATGCTTTGAACTATATGCTTTAGGAACTTTAAATTCTTCAGGGATCTTCATACAGACTTAATCAAATGAGTCATATAGGTTATGCCTTGCATTTAGATGGCATGACATCATCAGGTGTCTGGACTACATGTCCGATCCTCACAATCTTTTACAATATTGTGCACTATATTGCATCAAATATATCGTCGACGATCATT